TCGCGGGTTGACATTGACGCAGGTAGTAGGGTGACTCTTAGGCTTTGCGCCTTCCGGGACGTCAGTAGTTCGAGGCATTTCTATAAGGAAGTCTGCAAAAGCTTGACTCTTGATTACTGTTCTTAGCTTATACTCGATATGGTGTTCCCCCAACTTAACTGCCCTTTTCATCATTCGACCATAAGCTTCTGGTTTGAGAAGGACTTGTTCAATGGGTTGTTCTGTTAACACTTGTATCGGATGTGCTTGGAAGTATGGGCGCAGGCGTCCAGCAGCCAGAACTAAACTCAAGATAAGTCTCTCCATGGGCGTGTATCATGTCTCTTCCCCTTGTAACACTTTACTAACAAAGTAAACAGGAATCTCCTTGCTATCCTTGTTTTGGACTAGGACGGCTGATATGGCCTTTTCTCGAGCAGCGAGGTATACATACAAGGTCTCCCCCGGTTCAGGCTTGGCCAATATAGGCAGCTGTTTAAGATGATCCTTTAGCTCTTGGAAAGCTTTTTGGCATTCCTCGTTCCACTCAAACTTTCTGCCTTTCCGGAGTGTATAAAAGAATGGGAGGCTTCTTTTTGCGGCTCGAGAGAGGAATCTGTTTGAGGCCGCCAAGGATCCTGTAAGTTTCTGAACTTCTTTGACATTCTTCGGGGCTTTCATGGCTAAGATCGCCTCGATTTTTACTGGATCAACACTGATTCCATCCTTGGAGACGTGGTACCCTAGGAACTTACCCGACCCTACGCAGAAGGCACATTTTTTTGGGTTAAGTTTCATATTAATCTTGCGGAGAATCAAGAAGATCTCACGCATATCCTTGACTACTTGCTCATCTCTGTTGCTCTTGATCACCATGTCGTCCACATATATCTCGATGTTTTGGCCAATATGGTCATGGAACGCTCGATTGATGAGGCGTTCATAGGTTGCACCAGCGTTCTTCAAGCCAAAATGCATCTTGTCATAATAATACACTCTGATCTCGGTGATATAGGCTATCTTCTCTGCATCTTCTCGTGCCATAAGGATCTGGTGGTATCCTTTATAGGCATCAAGGAAACTGAGGATCCTATACCCAGTGATACCCTCGACCATCTGATCTATGAAAGGTAAGGGATAGCAGTCCTTAGGGCATTGTTTGTTGAGGTCCATGTAGTCTTGGCACATACGCCAAGAGTTATTAGGTTTCCGCACTAGGACTGGATTAGCCAACCAGGTAGGCCAAAGAACTTTCTGGAGGATATTAGTACAGACCAGCTTCAAGTTTCTTCATTGATGGCGTCGCTGCAGTCTCGAGCAAATATTCGTCGTTGCAGTCTCGAGCAAATATTCTCTTCTTCTGTTGTACGGGTTTAACGTTGGGATTGACATTCAAGCTGTGCTCAATAACATCTCGTGGCACTCCTATCATATCAGTAGGTGACTAGGCAAATATATCACGAAACTCGTGTAGCAAGGCGATTACCTCAGCTAGCAATGCTCCTTGAGGTGATATACCTATCTGGATGGTCTTGGAGGGATCCTTCTCATCAAGAACAAGCTCTTGTGTCTTGCTACTAAGTGGTGGCAGGCAGTTAGTGTCGCGATCCTGCGACCGTGATTATGCTACTGATTGTTGGATCGAGTAGCATTCAGGGTTTTGAATGTTCATCTTTTTGAAGCAATCATTGTATATGATGTCGACTGCACTGCCGTTGTCCACATAAACTCGACTGATTTGCACGTTTCCGATTATCGCCTCGATAACCATGGCATCACTTTGTGGACAGATATCCGGACTACGTCGCTGTCAGTGAAGACTATGGCCTTTGTCCCTTTAAACCTCTTGTAACTAGGTTCCTGACGGGGAGTTTTTGTGACAGTCCGCACTGAGTTCTTCATGGCTATGGTGGATAAAACTTCGAGAGGAGCTCCATAAATGGCACCCACCTAGTGAGTGATCTGCTTGGTAGGATCCACTGGGGGGATATGCTGAAGCGATTGCGGGACTCCTTCAATAGCTTGTTGAGGAGGTTGTTGCGTATTGTTCCCCAATTGCTAATTATTTCCACGGCTTTCTCCTCGAGGACCTCTAAAATTCCGTTTAGGGAAATTTTGTGATGTACCCGGCTTGCTATTCCTTTGTCGAGAGGATCCTTGCACATATTGTTCGAATTTACCAGATTTAACTCCATTATCAATTTTCCGCTTGAGTTCTCGACAATTCTCAGTATCATGGCTGTGGTCTTTATGGTATTCACAATATTGTTCCGTGACCTATTTAGATTGGGCGTCAAGGGTTTTGGGATAGGTAACTCATCCTTGTGAATCTGGAGGATTTCTCGACGTAGCTTAGTCAAAGGCACAACTGCCTATCGAGTTTAGGCAATGTTGTTCTACTATCCGTGTTAACCCTTGGTTTATCTCTCGGCCCTACTGGCGAGAAAGATTCTTGTGATCTCTTGATTGTGTGTTCTCGTTGAATATGATTCTCGACAATAGCCCACATCTCTTGGGAACCTAGGAGGTTTAATCGAGAGTTTTACTATTAGCATTGAGGATTTTTTAAATGGATTGAGCCCTTCGATAAATCCATTTTGGACATCCCGTTCATCTATGTTGTCAACTTGTAAGGTTTCGCGGATAAAATACCAATAGAAGTCTGAGAGACTCTCATGTTGACCCTGCTTGATCAAGGAAAGGTCAATGGACATTCTAGAGATTTGCTTACTCTGAAAGAACCGAGTGGCTAACTTGACGGATAAGTCCTCGAAACTAATTATGCTTCCTTCTGGTAATTTTTCAAACCACCGTTGTGCTTGCCCGGTTGGGTAGAAGGGTAGAGCTTTAGCCATAAAATTTAACGATGCGTTCCTGATCCTCATGACTTGGACATACCCTTGCAGCCACTGGGAGACGTTCGTATCTCCTGAGTATTTGGTGAAGTCCTTGGGGAAATCGAAGACCTGGGGCTTCGGCTCATCTCAAATGTCTAGCATAAAGGGACTCCGGTCTACGACCATTCCAATGATATTCCTCATCTCGTCTCGGATCGAAACGTTCTGGCCTCTTACTCCCTACTGACCTCGAGGAAGATAAGGTGGAATCTCTTCGTGGTTGTTATATTGTTGCCGCCTGGGAGGTGAATACTGAAGATGGAGGTGATGCCCTCGCCCATAATCCTCTCCAATATCGTCGTCGTCTCGGTATTGTCTAAGGAAAGGTACATATTCCTTCCTTTGAGAGCTTTTTCGATGCCAGTTGGGTCCCAATCGGTTGTGAACATTAGTCCTTCTCGGAGGGTTCCATTCTCCCTCTTCCACAACCTCGATGCTTGGGGATTCTCGTTGGTAGTGGTCTCGAGGATCCTTGCGTTTGTACACTGCATCAAACTCTTCAATGGCCATATCAAAGGCTGGATATTTCTTCCTGAAAGCGTTCTAGTAAACAGCGTCTCGAGTGGCAGTTGAATGGTTATCCAAGAAGCCTACGTGATCTGAATACTCTTGATAGTCCCCCTCCTCCTGGACCTTTCGCTTGCCTTGTTTCCTCTCGAGAAGAGCTATAGTGCGTCGGGCTTCCTTCTCGTCAATCAAGTCAGCTAACTCTTGTTCAGTTGGATCAGGTTTTCCAACGAGATAGCGACGCCTTGTTTCATCGAGAACATATCTTTTCATCCTTTGGTTTTGATCACTATCATTCTGTAGTTTCTTGAGTTCAGCCTCGATTTTGGCTAACTTTTGATCTTTCAAGCGCTTCCTGGACACTGTGGCATTTCGAGGAGGGGGCAAATCCTCCTTCTCTGTCACGGGATTAGCCTTGTCTGGTTTCTTTGGATTAGGCTGTGAAGAACCGAGGACCAGATGTTCCTCTCTAGTTCTTTTCCGGGTCCTCCTTCATGGTCTTTTCCCGCCTTCTTTCTTTCTTGTCTTTGTTAGACTTCTGCCAAGGTGGTGTTATCGGCTGGGCTTCGTTGATTACTGGAAGATGCTGTGGTGTTCGCGTCTTCTTCAACCCTGGCCATTGTTTTAATAATCCTAGAAACCCTAAGACGCACCGGGAAAAGATAGGAAAACCTGAGAAGGTTTTCGTGACACAAACCCTAGTTTTCGGGTCTCACTGGGCGTGCCACTTGACGAATCTTGGTTTTACACCGCGGGCTTGGTAGTGGTACTCTGGCTAGGGTTTCCTGCAAAAGAGGGCCTCGAGGTCTCCCGATGGTAGACACTCTGATACTTAAGTCAGAAAAGGGTTTAAAGAACGTATGAGAGTAGTATTGTATGCTTGAGATAGTGTACTCGTATTGTGGTGTGACCAACCCTATTTATAGGCATAAAGTTACCTTGAAGAATGTCGAATCCTACTAGGTTTTATATTCTAGAACCGCTTTTATCAGGTCGGTTGGACCATGGTTGGTTGATAGGCCGGTCCAATAATTTTTGATGGATACGGACTCGTCACTATATATATATATATATAAAATAAGATGTAAAAGTCTAGATTATGACACTAGGACATTTCTTTGACAGGAGACACTGACAATGTTATGTTCCAACCAATGAATTGCTCCATCTAGTGGTAATTTTGACTCTTCTTTTTCTTTGATAATATCTTGAGGTCGGATTAAATTTTATTTTTAAACTATATTTTATGCTTTATTGGGCTTGACAAATTAATTTTTAATGGTTCTTATAATCATTATTAAAAGCTATTAAAAATAATTTAATTAAAGTAAAAGATGCTAATTGTAATTAACTCAGAAAAATAGTAAGGACTCGCAAAGAAAACAATGCTGATTATGGGAAAGGAGAAAAAGCAATGGTATATAAAGGAACAAGTGGACGGACAGGATACAGTCTTAGACGACAAATCCTATCTACTTTAGCTGGTGCACGTAGACGTAGGGTAGCTGTCCCTGCGCTGCAATTATTTTCTCTCTCTGCGTTGAAACTGTCTCTCTCTCTCTCTCTATAGAATTCTTTCATTCCTTCGGTGGTGCCTTTCTCTTCTGATTTGCAGTTATGGAGATGGAGCGCGTGACGGAGTTTCCACACTCTCACATGGATCGGAGGCCCAGGAAAAGGGCGCGTTTGGGTTGGGATGTCATGCCCACGGCTCTGGCGCCGGTTCCGGTACAAACCCTGGCGGATAATAAGGTATAATAAGATCTGAATTTGAAGCTCGTTGATCTGATATCCCTTTGTTATGTTTTTGGGTTTGTTGCGATGATTTAGGATTTATTCGAATAAGGATTGTATAAAGATTGAGTTTGTTTATGATCTTTATTCTGGGTGATGCATGATGTTAATTTGGTTGTGTTTTGTTTTCTGATTTCTGGAAGTTGCTTCGTGGGATTTTTTCTAATCAGGACTGAAATATTTGTATGGATTTTAAGATCTTGGATCTAGATTAACCATCTTAAATCTATCCATCCTTGTCTAAGTATTTGAAAGTTGCCTATGAATATGTGGTTGGAGTTCAAGTCTAGTTGTCGATCTCCTAAGATTGTTGTTTAGTATCTTTGTGTTAGAATATCCTTACCTGAATAAAGATGATGTTCTCGATTCTGGATTATCCGATTTTGTATCTGAGAGATTATATTTAGGTAGAAGAGGATTGATATCCCATTGCCCGAGTATTTTTTCTTTATCAATTCAAAGCTTATGGCATAGAAAGGGGTGATTGAGTCTGTACCTATGGGATCTGGTTATTTATGTTGGGATTAATCTATCCACTGCTTGCTTCGCTGTTCTATGTTTTTCAGTAAATCCGTTTTGCAGTTTTATTTAATTTTGAACAGCAATGTTTTCTTCTGCTGGTCTTGGAATTATCTTTGTTGATTGACTTTGTAAACGGGTTGGCTTTGTCCTCACCATTTGTTCTTGCAGGCTCTGCCATAGTGGTGACTTTTATCTGTTTATTCTTATCTTTCTTTTGCATTTAAGACTATTATTAATCATTTAGTGTGTTCAGGATGATAGAAGGTATCAATGAGGTAACCGAAATTAATTATGATTTTTAAACAAAAATGTGAATGGATGCCTGTGTGTAGGCTCAGCTAGGATTGTTTTGTGGACAAGAGATTGGAAATGTGACAAGCTATGCACCTTCAAGGACTACTTCAGACCACACTAGTTCCCTGTTTGTTAAGGGAGTGGCTCGAAATGGTTCTCCCCCATGGCGAGGAGATGACAAAGATGGACATTATTTATTTGAGCTTGGAGAAAATTTAACATCACGCTGTAACTACCTTTACCATCATCCAGAAAAATTCAGTTCGTAGTTTATGTTGCATATCTGCATGTCTCTGTGAGGAGTCTTTGATATCTATACAGTTGTGGCTGTGTAAACGTGTTTGCCTGTTAAAGTAAACCTTTTAAGCCAGTGACTTTTACCAGGGCACTAGTTATGTTTGGCCCATTAGTGTTGTAGGGTAAACCATGTCTGAAAACTATTTAGTTCAATTGATTTGGGAATGCCATTTTTTGTACGTTTTCTTTTTTAAAGTTTTTCTGCTACAATCTTGTATCATTTTGTTGCTAGATAATATTCTTTCAATGGTGATTGTAGTATTCTTGAATGGAATAATTTGTGCTGTCATGTAAAATAATATTGTTACTAATAGGTGTTTAGTTCTATTGATTGAATGCCATCTTAGGAAGATTTTCAATCAGTTACTATTACTTGATGTTTATTAGTCTTTCTTACACTCTTCTAATTGAGATGTTCTTTGCCTTTGTCTTCTGTTCTTAATGCAGATAAAATCCATAGCAAGATGGGTGAAGGTATTTACTGCAGTTCTCTCTATGTTACCCCCCTTTTCTTCTTTCTCTTTGAATGCAGTGCTATGGCTTTAGCTCGTTCTGATGTATGACGATGTGTGTTTTGTTCAGGAACTTTTGGTCAGGTTCTAGAATGCTGGGATCGGGAAAAGAAGGAGATGGTTGCCATCAAAATTGTTCGTGGCATTAAGAAATATCGAGAAGCTGCTATGATTGAAGTTGAAGTCCTTCAAGAACTTGGTAAACATGATAAAGGTGGCAATCGGTAAGTGTTGTCTTGATTTCTTTTGTATGCTTCCCTTTTCGTTAAACCATTGATGCCACTCTAGGCCTTGTGAATTTCTTTGGTGGTTGAATTCATTTATGTCTTGCAGTTGTGTGCAATTACGGAACTGGTTTGACTATCGTAACCATATCTGTATTGTAAGTACATGGCATACCTGATTTGATGGATTAATTTCCCCAACCTCAAAATTTTGTGGGGGTTAAATATTGGATGAACTTTAAAATGGTGTCAACAGGTGTTTGAGAAGCTTGGACCAAGCTTATACGATTTTCTTCGGAAAAACAATTACCGGTCATTTCCCATTGATCTTGTCCGTGAGATTGGCAGACAGTTGTTGGAATGTGTAGCATGTGTGTAATAACTACCCGTTTTAAATTATTTCGCACTTTTGCCAGTCAAATATCTTAACCTCTGGGTTTGTGATGTATTTGCAGCCCAGGTTTAATTGAAACCTGTAGAAGATCCCTAGTCATTTACGTAGTTTACCTTTAACATTATTTTAATTTGATAATTTGCAGTTATGCATGATCTGCACCTTATCCACACTGATTTAAAGCCTGAGAATATCCTGCTTGTGTCCCCGGATTATATAAAGGTTCCAGACTACAGGGTAATGCATTTTAGATTAGAATGTTTTCTGTTTACTCTGGCTGTGGATGCATTTATCACTTTCGCAATTATATTGCGTTGTGTTAGCCGTGTGAGTTTGTTTTTCTCCTTTTAAGCTTTCAGGAGTGACAGTTTTTGGCACTTCAAATTTTCAGGGTTCTCTGAAGTCACCAAAAGATGCTTCCTACTACAAGAGAATTCCGAAATCGAGTGCTATTAAAGTGATTGATTTTGGCAGCACGACTCATGATCGCCAGGATCAGACCTATGTAGTTTCAACCAGGCATTATCGAGCTCCTGAAGTCATTTTAGGTACTTCATGCTTCTGAAGTTGTTGGTTGACATTTAGTTAATCATTGTTTGTAATATTCAAACTCAAAAGGCCCTACACTTATGGTTCACATTTGGTCACTTTGCTTATGCTTCTGAACTTTGCAGGGTTGGGATGGAGTTATCCTTGTGATATATGGAGCGTGGGATGCATTTTGGTTGAGCTGTGTTCGGTATGTTGCACATAAAGCTCTCCTTTTCATCAAACTTGCATTTTTTATCTCATGGAAAATAATTTTTTCATCATGTATGAATAATGGACAGGGTGAAGCCCTGTTCCAAACTCATGAGAATTTGGAACACCTTGCAATGATGGAGAGAGTTCTTGGTTCCTTGCCTCAACACATGCTGAAGAAATCTGAGTGAGTGCTTTTAGCTTTTATATTCCATTTTCATCCTAACTGGTAAATTGTGTTTCAGTCTTTTGACGCAGTGCTTATGTTATTTGTCGTAGTCGAAATGCTGAAAAGTATTTGAGAAGGGGTAGACTTGACTGGCCGGAGGGAGCAACCTCACGGGACAGTATCAGAGCAGTTCTGAAGTTGCCTCGCCTTCAGGTAAATGCTTATTTAATCCATTTTTCTTTCACCTAAGACCTTCAATATAGTTTCTGTATCCTTTCTGGATGCTGATGTTTGGTTTCTATTTTCAGAACCTAATAATGCAGCATGTGGACCACTCTGCCGGAGATCTGATACATCTTATCCAGGGTCTGCTCAAGTATGATCCTCTAGACAGGCTAACAGCTCGTGAGGCCTTGAGACATCCTTTCTTTTCCAGGGATTCTGTTCGGAGATCATAACAAATGTAACAAGTTCAACGGACATCCATTGCTGACCCAATTGATACACTAGCCAAAAGATTTTGGTTGCCTGTAATGTAAATATTAGTGTATAATCTATTGTATCATCATCCATTTAATATAAGAAGTCTTTGATTTTCCTCCATTTAATATAAGAAGTCTTTGATTTTCCTCCTGAAGTACCGGAATTTCTGTCCTTAAATAACCTTAGATGCTGATGACATATAACTGCAAAGCATCAACAATTTTTGTATATGTGTAAATGTTGTTTGTCCGAATCATATCCACCTATTTCCTTCTTTGGTAGTGATGTTCATTTTAAGATGCGACAATTCAGAGTGAATCGACTCTTCATGAAAGCTAATCTTAATTAACTAGTTGTGTAATGATAGTAACTCGAAGACTCTTCGTGAAAGCCAATCCATCCAACAACGCAGGCTAAAGTGCTCTCCTTTTTGCTAACAGTCTTTTCATTGTTCATTTTGGACGTGAAGGTTTGTGTCGGGTATGCATCCTAGGCGTTGCACTTTACAACAAAGCTAAAACTGGATTCTACCTTCCCAAATTTCTGTACTAATTCTGTTCTTTGTGGTCGTCTTTCCTTAGTAGACTGATATGAAACGGGAAAACAATTAGCCGTTAACCAAAATACAAAAATGATTAGCTGCAAATTTGGCGTTTGTTTCATGCTATGCCCTATTTATAGATGCTGTAAACTGCTACCAATCTTTGATATGGCAGATTACAAGGTATGATCCTGTACATTTGCTAGTGATTTGTTTTGCACATGCAACTTTCAAATAAGCTCCACAAAACATATCTAATCCTTGACTCAAAATCATAAAGACCAGTTCTATGGATGCATGCGAATCAGTTCTTCTGGTCCACATTCTCTAACGGCGACATGTATGGTGCTGTTTGCGGAAGACTGCAATACATCGCAGCATTGCCTTCGTGGTGCCTGCAACTGCAGTTTGTGCAGTAGAACGAACCATTAGGCAAATGCAGACGACAAGAAATCGAAAGTTTTAAGATGAACTAAAAAGGACCTTTACCTGTTTGATGTCAAGGTCTAACTTTTCTGAAACCACTCTGATCTCTTCGATTTTCTTGTCATAAGTACAGTTAATGTCCATCCTCCAGTAGATGCTTACGATGCCATCATCACTGGTGTAGACACCGTCGAAAAAGAAAACAACTGGCCTCTTACATGGATCAGAGTCATATCCCTGAGCATCAAGAGTAACATGTGGTGTCTGTCTCCAGGAAGTAAAAGTCAGTTGGGCTCGTAATACATCAGGGAGAGGGACATCTCTTGCGATAAGTTGAACTGCGTATCCCCAGGACACAGAGATTGTAAACAAGGATCTTTGATCGTAGCAAACTGCTTGTTGCAAGATCCTCAGAGGATCAAACTTTGTTGCTTTCATCAAGTGCTCCATAGACTTCAAAGTAGTCATCTTGGGAAAGATTGGCTCTGGTACTTCCAAGTGATGGAGAGTAACCAGCGGCCTTATAGGATGTGCAGCCATAAACCCGAAAATGTTTCCCCGAATATCCATCTGATTGAAGTTACTAGTAGAATTAGCTACTATCTAAATGGAAACACTGAAAACCTTTTTTTTGAAAAGTCTGAAAACTGAAACTGTGAAAAGCAAAAGATTGCAGAAACTTTCTAGGGTATTAATCTAGTATAGTACCTGATGAAATCCGGGTTCATGCGTCAAAGAGACGCCAAGTTCCATCAAACAGGCCTGAATCCTTCCATCACTGCCAAAGACATGAGGATATCTTTCCAGACAGGAGTCAAGAACTTTAGCCAAGACTTTAGCTAAGGGATAGCTTATAGCAAATCCAGCTCCACCATATGCCATTTCAAAGGAAAAAAGTTTATTCGCGTCGAAATCTTCTGAATTAGCCCCGATATAATACCACAGGCCATGATCATACTTTGATAGGGTCTTCACCAGATTCTCAGGGAAGAAAAACGTATCATCATCTCCAAACACAAACCATCTGACATTACTGTGGTTTAAAGCCACAGTTTCTGATACAACTCTGGCTACCCGAATAGCTGATCTTTGACCAAATAACTTATATGTATATGGAAATCGAGAAGTGTCACCAGAAATGCATACAGGAGGAAGAGAAACAGTATCATTTTGTAGAGAAGTTGAGAGATTCACTGGCTTTTCTTCAAGGAAAACACATCCTCTCATTACTTCTGGCCTCCACCAAAGCCTGACAAATTCTTTCCTTCTTAACCATGAGTTTTTCGAAGAGGCAATCCCAAAAACAATGTGCTCAAGGGAAGTTGTAGAGGTAGTGGTAGTCAAATGCTGCTCAGAAAGTGCGCGGTACGATTGATTTGCATTTGGATCAAGGACTAATGAAAGGAGAAGATAAACCAGAAATATCAAACAAGATATTGTAATGCAATTCACAAGCCCGAATGGAAATTGATGATGGGATGCTAACTTTATATTCGGATTTTTCATTTTCAGAGGTAAAAATGGGATTCAATGGCGATAATTTCTTATATATTCTGAATCAGAACACTAAAATGTAGTTCCATTTCAGTTCTGCTTAGTTGACTAACAGTTGTTAATCTCTATCTTTGCGAGTACCAATAGATTTGTCCATTTGTCCCATTTTCTTCATACAATCTAGTGACTGCATTAATTTTCAAAGTTAGAAGTTTTAACTGAAATATTTTCTTAATTTTTAGAGATCTGTGCAAAGTTTTTATTTATTTATTTTTTTTTTTTTAAAAAATAAGAATGTGCAAACTTTGACTTTGATGCATATGGCTTTAAATCATCAACCCTCACCTCATGCTCAACATTATTATATGAGATCAAAACAATAGTATAAAAAGAAAGATTAAACAACCATTTTTATCAAAATTTCGATTTCAAAATGCTGTTATTATTTATTGGGAATACAACCATTGGAGTTCTATCAGCGGAATGTGAATACTTCAAACTTCATCTTACTAGCATTACAAAAAGATTCTTTTTTGCGTGAAGGCCAACTTCAATTCCTACTTTCTCCATCATTTATAATACTTAACATTTTTAATACTCCGTTTTACTGACAATCATCATCCAACAAATGAGACTATTAAAATGGGCGCGGGGGAGAATTACTTTTCTGCTGTAATATGCCAGTTTGATGCTATATGTTGCACAGGAAATTTTGTTACAGGGAAATAATGATGAAAAGAAACTTTGATGGTAAGGAATTGTGACATTCAATTTGGATGATAATGAAAACGACTCTATTGAATCGAAGGTCATCTAAGGGCTGCCATGGCAATCCATCACTATCCAGCATTTTCATTCACCAGAGTCATCGGCATCTTACAGCTCCAGAAGGATTACTATCCAGCATTTTCATTCTGACTAACCATTGGAGTCTCATCGACGGAATTTAATTAGTACTATACATGTTTCATCTTAGTTGGTGACACTAACTTGGTGTTACGAAAAGATTTCTTTTTGCATGAATATCACCTTTTTCTTTTAACTATTTCCCCGTTCTTTTTAATAGTTCACTTTATTGACAATTATCGTTCGACAAACTGAACTATTAAAAGGGGAGCGAGAAGCGTTACTCGTATGCTGTAGAATGATTTCCTGGATTAGAGTCAAGCTATATGCTGCGCAGCACATTTGTTAAATGGCAGAAATTATGAAAGAAACTTTGATGGCAAGGAATTGTGGCACTTAGAAGGATAACTCATAACTCTCTTGTTTGCTTCTTGGTTTTCTTGTTTACAATTAGCAAAATGAAAATCCGCATGTTGAGGTAATGTATCTGAAATTAGTCGTAGTAATTCTAATGCCAGTACACATAAAATCTGACCCTCCAAACTTATGTTTCCAACTTGCTTTCATTCTTTTGTGTTGAGTGTTAATCAGAGGACTAATAAATCTGGGGAGAGGTAATCTTGCTAATGATTTTGTTTTTTGCAGATGTAACTTCCAAAACAGTTTCATAAAACAGATCACACCAGAGTACTGAACCGAAAACTTTTCTAATCCTTTACTCTAGATCACGGAGACTAAACCTATGGATGCATGTGAATCAGCTCCGCAGGTCCACATTCTCTAATGCGACCTGTAACGCTGTTTGCTGAAGATCGCAATACATCACAGCATTGCCTTCTTGGTGCCTGTAACTGCAATTCACAAGTAGTGAAAAATGAACCATTTAGGCAATGAAAGAAACAAGAAATTGAAAGCTTTAACATGAATGGAAAAGAGAAGACTTTTACCTGTTTCATATCAAGGTCTAACTTTTCTGAATACACTCTGATTTCATCAATTTTTGTCTCATTTGTACAATTGTTTTCCCTCCTCTTGTAGATGCTTACAATTTCATCCCCATTGGAGAAGACATTGTCGAAAAAGAAAACAACTGGCCTCCTACATGGATCAGAGTCATATCTTTGAGTATCAAGATTAGCCTCTGGTCTCATTCCCCAGGACCTGAAAGTCTGTTGGGCTCGTAAGACATCAGGGAGAGGCACATTTCCTTTGATCAGTTGAACTGTGTATCCCCAGGACACGGAAACTGTAAGCGATAATCTTTGATCATAACAAACTGCTCGTTGTAAGATCCTCTGAGGATCTAACTTGGTAGCTTTAGTGAAGTGCTTCAAAGCCTCCAAAGTTGTCATGTTGGGAAAAATTGGCTCTATTGCATCCAAATGGTGAAACGTAACCAATGGCCTTGTTGGATGTGCAGCTAATAAACCGAAAATATTTCCCCTAACATCCATCTGTTGAAGTTACAAGCACAGAGACTTATACTAAACTGAATTTGCTGCTTGTAACTGAAATAGAGAGAACAGGAAAAAAAAAAAAAGGTAAGGAAAAAATAGTAGTACCTGATGAAATCCAGGCTCATGTGTTAAAGTGACGCCAAGTTCTGTCAAACAGGCATAAATCCTTGAATCACTGCCATAGACATGAGGGTACCTTTCCAGGCAGGGATCAAGAACTTTAGCCAAAACTTCAGCAAGGGGGTAGCTTATAGCGAATCCAGCTCCACCAAATGCCATTTCAAACGAAAAAATTTCATTGGCCTGGAAGTTTTCTGAATTAGTCCCAACATAATACCACAGGCCATGATCATACTTTGCCAGGGTCTTTGCCAGATTGTCAGGGAAGAAAAATGTATCATCATCTCCAAACACAAACCATCTGACATTATTGTGGTTTAAAGCCACAGTTTCTGATACCATCCGGGCTACACGGATTGCTGATCTTAGACCAATCTTATCTGTGTACTGAAATCGAGAAGTGTCACCTGAAACGCATAGAGGAGGAAGAGAAACAGAATCATTTGTGTCTGATGGTGAGTTTTGTGGCATTTCTTCAAGGAAAACACATCCTTTCATTGTTTCCGGCCGCCACCATAGCCTAACATATTCTTTCCTTCTAAACCATGTTTTATTGGAAGATGCAATCCCAAATACAATGTGTTCAAGGGAAGTTGTAGAGGCAGGGGACAGGGGCACATTCTGGGGAGAAATTGAATGATACAATTGATTTACATTTGGAACAAGAACTGATGAAAGGAGAAGATAAACCAGAAATATCAAACAAGATACTGCGAAACATTTTGCGATCCCTGATGGAACCTGATAATGTGGTGTTAAATGTACAATAGGATCTTTCATTTTCAGAGGTGAGGTTTGAAGGAAATTCAATGGTGATATCCTGATAAATAGCAACCTATTTTCTTATGCAGTCAGAATTCGGGGAAAAAAAAAAAGTAATAAGATGAACTTCAACGTCGGTTCTGTTTCTCTGTCAGTAGACCCTTCCAGATTTGCGAATAACTATGCAGTAGTCTTTGTTCTTGAAGAAATGCTCAGTGGCTTTGTGAATTTCCAGAGTCAATTACTAATTGAAGTATTTTTTTATTGATAGGTACCCCATGGCATTTATATTTTAGATTAATGCACTTGTTTCTTAATATAATCCATGCTTATATTAAACGTGTGTACAGTGTTGAATGAGATCAAAAGCACATGAAAGGAAGAGGAAACTGCGGATATTTACATTATAATACTTTAATATTTTTAAAATTTTGGAGATAAGCAAACCCTGTCATTGTTAATTTTCATTGGCAGTTCTACCCACGGAATACCTGTCGACAGTTTCTTAGCATAAATCACTAAAACTTACTATCATTATACTACTCTTTTTATGAATGAACAAACACGACTCTTATTTTGAAATGAAATCCATAAGTTTTCAACACATGATCACTATAAAGACGGATAGGAATGGCGGATCATTTACAATAAATAATTGTTAATAGCATGCAGCTAAATGAGCAGAAGCCATGCAGTATTTACATCACTCAAGCAGAATGCCTCAATAACACTAAAAAAGATTCTGATGATTTCCTAGTTTTCCTCTTCAAAGTTGGAGCTACTGTTACCAGACTGCATTTAGCCTGACGCTTCTAAGTTTTGAGTTGGATCCAGCAAATTGTGGGGTGGCTGTCAGGAAGAGTTTCCAGAGACGTCAACAAAACACAGCCAACTGACAAGCCGTCGTCACAACTAGTCAAATAAATTTACCTATTTAACACTAGTATAGCAGAAAATAGGGTCGTATCCACAGAGAAGGAATATAATTACCAGGTATAAATTACTCCTATTATTATCTAGATAAATGATGATCTCAGATTTATAAAATTTAAAACTAAAATAAATAAATAAAATAAAGGCAAATAATATTAATTCAAATAATCAGACAAAGAAAACCTAGGACATTGGGTTCACCTACCGAATATTTGGTTTGATTCAATTCATAAATATCTGACTTTTAACTTCCATTAATCTCACAACGACTCATCTAATTAAGAACTATACACTCTAGTGTTATAATTCTCTTACTTAGATTAACCCTATGACTACTCTCGTGACTATAGGGATTAATAAAAGCACATTAAGACCATTAAGAATCAAACATTGCAAAAGTTGTGTTCCTACTGTCGTGGTTCACTACCTAAGTCTAATATTCCCATGAACTAATATTAATTTTCAACTGTCGTTCCATCAATTAATATCTTTAAACATGCAAGTAGTGGCTATTTACAAATATGGAATAAAAGCAAGAATATCAAATATTGATCAATGGAAAAATCAAAATATCATGAATCAAATAAACCAAATAAATTCGGCGGCTACACCCAAGCCCTAGATTAAAAGAATTTAGCCACTAAACATTATCAAAAATAATTCAACAATATTTAGAGACATTATCCAAAAATCTGAAATTAAATAAATAAAACTCCAAAACCCGAATGAAGAATAAGGCTGCCGAATTGAAGACTTGAAGTCCACGGCTGCTGCTTACTTTCTCTTCGGCCGGTGGCTCTGCGTGGCGGAGGACTTGGCTGCTGGTGATGATGACGAGAGGTGATGATGGTGATTAATGGTGGTGCTGCGTGGCGGAGTCAAGGAGGAAGCAAGGAGGTTTTGCTGCGTGTGTGCGTTTGGTGATTTATGGTGTGAGGGAGCAAGGTGGTCTCGACAGTGGAGAGCTGCGTGGTGATGAAGGCAAGGTGGTGATGCTGCCGGTGAAGGAGAACAGAGATGTTGGTTTGCTTCGGTGTAAGGTGGCTGCGTGGAGGAGAAGAATTGCAGCGGCGGTGGAATATTTTTGCAGCCGTGAGGGTTTCGGTCAAGTTCGGTCCATTCCTGTTGTAAAAATAAATCTCTAATCCTCCTTTTATAGGCTTCCGTCAAAACCCTACTTCTTGGAGAGGAAGAAAAACTTATTTTCCAAATAATATTGAGATGAAAATTCTTACCCAAATTCAATCCCAAATCAGCCGCAAGTCATTGTTTTTGGCCAATTTCCATAAACCAAACAACATTCTGAAATTGCTTGTTTAATCCTTCAATTTTTTAAGTACTTCAATTTCTTCTTTGTCAATTTATCGAATTTTCAATTCTTCCTTTAAGTTGCTTTTATCTTCATTTCAGCCTAAAATTTCAACAATTCCTCCAATTGAGTACAATTCCTACAATCAAATATAAAATCACATAAATAGCACATTTGTACTCAAAATATTGGCAAAATTTCACATAAAGGGATATTAAAAATAGGTAAATTATGAGCACATCAAATACCCCCAAACTTGAAATATTGCTCGTCCTCAAGCATTTCCGAAAAATTAAAACAAACAAAAACATTAAATTATTTAATTAGGCGGCCTCAGAGATTCAATCATCATATAACACAAAGACCTCGACTAACTCTAGTATGGACTACCCAATAATATGCAAACTATAGCTACTTTTAGACCCCACACTTGTGTGTGTGTGCGATTCGTTTCTTAAGGACATCACTTTACATTTAACATAGAAAACAAAAGCTCGGCTGCAAATATGCCATTTATTACTTTAACAAGAGAATCACATTTCATACCATATTTCAATGCAATGGACTGCCAAACATACTATGACGTAGAAGGACTTATCTCACAGACAACCTATTCCCCCTCGTAACCCATTCTTCGGTCCATGCGGCTTTTCTTCAAGACTCTTTCTGACTCAGACCACTACCCAGAGCATTTTTCCACTCCTATACATAGTGGTTCAGCAACTTAGGGCAGTTTATATATCTATTTTTCCTCACCGGGCCTGAGGACTCTCCGCTCAGGCTGCCAACTCCTCATCTCTCAATGGGCTAGCATCAATATTGAATGCTCTTCCTTTTCTCCCTCATTAAATTTAACCTAACCTCAGAAGCATCCGCCAACACCCTTCCCCCAAACTTAACACAAAGTGTCAAAGCAATAAGGTTTTTTAAGGCTGATATTGGGTTAATACCTTGTTCTTTCACAACATGATGGGTTCCACATACATATCATATAAGTATGAGTGAATCAAACACAATTTTTCACGGCATATCTACATCAAACTCATGCAACTATGTCTCACTTTAGGCTTATCCCACAGTCATGACTAAGTGCATAAAAAGCAGGGTATTCAAAACAACATATAGAAATACATAAGTTAAGCAATACAATTCAAAATAGTCTAATTCTTACATGCTATAGATAATTAACCATCTTTATCATAGACCTTTTTAGATTTTTCAATTTTTTCAATTTTTATGGGTTTTTTTTATTTAAGAAAGATAAACATAAAACACAAATATTCCTCTCCCCCACACTTAAAGCATACATTGCCCTCAATGTATAAAACACAAAAGATAAGACAACCAAGTGAAAAGAAAAGAAAAGACAAAAACAAAAGAAATGAAAAGAAACGACACAACCTTGGGAATGCAAAAAAGAGGACCAGAATTGTTGAATAAACTGTTGCACTGCCATCCAAGCACACGACCAACTTCTTCAGACTTTTGGATGTTTCATTTTTAACACCACTGGATACCAGAGTTTCGCCCTTCTAAAAAACCTAATGGCAAACTAAAATAAATTAGAAAATCAAACCTAAACACAGATGATTAAGAAAAACCACGAAAATCCAGAAATCAAAGATCTCCAGATAATCAGGAACAAAAAACTTAACCATCAACTTATTAATGAAAAAAAAAATAAAGCAAATTAAAACTTGGGTTGCCTCCCAATAAGCGCTTCTTTAAAGTCATGAGCCGGACTATTTGGCTAATCAATCAAAGAGTGTGAAACTCTTTCATACATCATTCTTCTTCCATTTCTATCTGTGCCTACATCACTGATACATATGTCAGGAGGATCTTTAGAATTAGCAATGAAAACATCAGTTTTATCTAGCTCTTCAAGAATATCTACCCTAAACACATGATGAGTAAATGCAGGGCATTTGTAATTTTCAGAAAAAGTGAACCCCACAAATTCTTCTCCAATATGAAATTTTAAACTCCCTTTTTTTAACATCTATAATAGCACCAGCTGTAGCTAGAAATGGTCGACCTAAAATAATTGGCACATTAACATCTTCTTCCATATCTAACACAACAAAATTAACAGGGATATAAAATTTCTTCACTTTTACTAGCACATTTTCCAAAATCCCTTTCGGATGAGTTATGGACCTATCAGCTAACTGCAAAGTGATGTTAGTTGGTTTCAAATGTTTCAACCCAAGCTTTCTACAAACAGATAAAGGCATCAATGAAACACTAGCACCTAAATCACATAAAGCTTTATCAAAACAAACACCACCCATAGAGATAGGAATAGAGAAACTCCCTGGATCACTCAATTTTGGAGGCAACTTCCTCTGAATAACCGCACTACACTCCTCAGATAATGCAATTGTCTCAAAGTATTCCACTTTCCTTCGGTTGGAGATGATCTCCTTCAAGAACTTCCCATAAGCAGGAATCTGAGCTAAAGCATCTGCAAAACGAATGTTAATATGCAATTGCCTAAAAATTTTCAAAAATTTCTCAAACAACCTATCTTGCTTGGTCATATGGAGTCTCTGTGGAAAAGGCACTGGTGGAACATAAGGTTTGAGCGGTGGTGGCACATATATTTTTTCTTCCTCTTGTTCAACTTTCTCCACTTTTTCTTCATCGCTCTCTTTACTCTCTTCTTTCTTCTCATCTGTGGTCACATTCACTTCAGTGGTCTTTGGTTCCTCCTTGTCACCCAACTGCTTCCCACTTCTCAACATGATAGCACTACAATTTTCACGAGGGTTGA